CTTGTCTTTCCCTACTATTGCAGCCCTGTGAGCAGGGCTTGTTCCCACAGCTGTAGTCCGCTAGTCAGCTGTGCAGTTGAGGTCACTCCCTGCCAACTCACCCCCCCCCCCCCCCCCCCAATCTTGTTCAGCTGTTGTCTTCCTTGGGCTCCATCTGTAGTGCTGGGCGTCTCCCATACCTGTCTTCCAACTGGGAAGGTCTCTGGCCTCAGCCCACAGGACTTGCAGTTCTCTCTTGTTTGAGGGGAGAGGGCAGGGTGTGTCCCCTGGGGATGGGAGGGTGGGTTGGGGGTCGGGGTGGGGGTGTGGAGCTCTCCAGATCCAGCAGCCTCAGCCCATCAGCTGCCGCCTGCACGTGGGGGTGGGACGGAGGAACAGCTGCTGGCCAGGCTGGGCCCAGCTGGGCCTGCCCCTTCCAAGAACTTCGCCCTGTGGCTCTGGCACCTCAGGGATCCAGGGCAGTGGCCCCAGAGTGGAACAGATACGCTGCAGCTGGAGGCCAGGGCCCTGCCAGCTGTGCCCACGCCTCTGGGGGAGGGAGGGTCACTCAGCAGCTACCCTCAGCCCAGAGGTGGGTCTGGCAGGTGAAATCTGTCCTGCCGGGGCAGTTCCGGTAGGGGACAGTGGAAGAGTCTGGCTTTGAGCTCTTCCTCCCCTGTGAGCCCTGGTGACTGGGTTAACCATTCCCCTGCCCGTCCTTTACTTGGGCCGTGGTGATCCCTAGGCATGGCACCTCTTGGGCCCTAGAAACAAAACCCTGAGACCCAGGTGGCCATAATGAAGCTGCTCCCAGGAGGGAGGGCTGGAAATCAGGCTGGGAAAAGGAGCTCATTGGGGCCGGCATGGTGGCACAGCAAGTAAAGCCACCGCCTGCAGCGCCGGCATCCCATATGGGTGCCAGTTCAAGGCTCGGCTGCTCCAACTCTGATCCAGCTCTCTGCTATGGCCTGGGAAAGCAGTAGAGGGTGGCCCAAGTCCTTGGCCCCCTGCACCCACGTAGGAGACCCAGAGGAGGCTCCTGGTTCCTAGCTTCGCCTTGGCACAGCTCCAGCCACTGTGGCCAACTGGGGAGTGAACCGGTGGATGGAAGATCTCTCTCTCTGCCTCTCCTTCTCTTTCTGTGTAACTCTGACTTTCAAGTAAAATAAATAAATCTTAGGAAAAGAAAAGAAAAGGGGCTCCCTGGGACAGCAGCAGCCGGTGCCCTTGCCTCCTCCTGCCTAGTCTTCCTGTCTTGAGGTTCCTGGACTGAGTGGCGGCTGGGCTGGGTTGGGCTGGGGAGGGAAGCTGTCTCCTTCCTCCCAGGCCTCAGTCACTGGATCCCGCCCGCCCTCCTGCTGATTGTGTGGGTCAGGACCCTGACTGACATTTATCTGGCCCAGCTTTCCAGGCTAGGGGAAGTGGAGGGAGTGGCTTGGTCTTAATGAGATTTAAAAATAACTTTTTAATGGGAGGATCTTTAGCGGAACTCTGCAGCTCCATAAGCCTGTGTAGAAAGGGGCGGCCATGTTCCAGGGTTGAGGGGGCTGGCCCAAGGCTCACAACCTCTGGGGGACTTTGAGGCAGCCTGGCTCCTGGTACCCCAGCAGAGCTACCTGAGGCTCATAGTGGGGCTGGTGGGATTGTGAGCCTGGGTGCATGGGAGAGAGGGAGCCAGAGTGAGTTCATTCCTGATGTCTGTCATGGCTCAGAGCCAGCTGCGGGGAGAAGAGGGGGCTCCTATTCTTGTCCTTAAAGGCAGCTACGTGTCCTGGAGATCGCCTTCTGTGGGTACCCAGACAGCTGGCTGTGTTTCAGAGCAGGGAGAAGAGTCTCTGGGGAGGGGGCGGGGCATGGGGGGCTGCACCCCTCGGAGTGCCTGGCTCGCTGTGCTTAGCAGGCTCCTCTGTGTAATGTGGTGGGACCCAAGTGGTGAGGCGGTGGGTGGGGTCAGGGTGCCACAGGGAGGAGCTGCTGGCTCAGGCCAGCAGTCAGGAAACCACCCAGTTCTTAGTAACCAAGGTCTTCGAATTAAGAAAAACCCCTCCTGTGTATTTTCTCATCCTTCCCTTTCTTCCAGGTTTCCCTAAAATACCAGGCCCAGCTCCTGTATCAGCCTCCAGTCTCTGCTATCGCATGCTGCTGCCAACTTAGTGACTTAGACCACACAAGTGCAGTGTCTTATAGCTCCAGAGGGCCCATCTCACTGGCTGAAGTCCAGGTGTCACAGAGCTGCCTTCCTGCCGGAGGCTTCGGGGACAGTGTCTTCTTGCCCCTCCCTGCTGCTGGAGGTCAACTGCATTGCTTGGCTTGTGACCCTGTGTGATTTGATCTCTGCTTCCTCCCTCACTTCTCCCATTCTGACTCACCTGCCTCCACCTTCCCACTTAGCAAGGGCCCACTTGGATGATGAGGCTACCGTTCCCATCTCAAGAGCCTTAGCCAGGAAGTCCCTTTTTGCCATATAAGGTTAACATAGCCACGGGTTCTGGGAATTAGGACAGGGACACCTTTAGGGAGCCTTTATTCTGCCTACCACAGCTCCTAGAGGGGAAGCAGAATTTGTTTTGTTATCTGTTTCCTCTTGGGAAATTCCTGTTGCTTGCTGAAATCTGACAAGAGCCTGCTCGGGGACTGCCATTGTGGTGCAGCAGGTTAAGCCGCTGCCTAGAACACTGGCAACCCATAGGGCGCCAGTTCATGTCCTGACTGCTCCACTTCCGATCCAGTGCCCTGCTAATGTGCCTGGGAAAGTGGTGAATCATGGCCCTTACATGCCCGTGGGAGACTTGGATGAAGTTCCTGGAACCAGCCTGGTTGGTTGCAGCCATTTGGGAAGTGAACCAGAGGATAGATCTCCCTCTGTCTCTAACTACCTTTCAAATAGATAAATAAATCTCTTTTTTTATTTACTTATTGAAAGGCACAGTTAGAGAGAGACAGAGAGAGAAGTCTTCCATCTGCTGGTTCACTCCCCCACATGGCTGCAATGTGGGCCAGGGCCAGACTGAGGCCAGGAGTCAGGAGCTTCATCTGGATCTCCCACATGGGTGCAGGGGCACAGGCCCTTGGGCCATCTTCTGCTGCTCTCCCAGGCACATTAACTGGGGGCTGGATGGAAAGTGGAGCAGCCAAAACTTGAACTGGTGCTCACATGGGATGGCGGCTCTGCAGACAGCGGTTTAACCCACTACACCACAGCACTGGCCCCCGATAAACAAATCTAAAAAAAAAAAAAAGAGTTTATTCACCCTACTTCCAGGAAGCCTTCCCGGGCTGCTTGCGCCCATTGTGTGCAATCCTTACCCTTTCATATGCATTCATCTTGGCTCCCTGATGGCATTGTAGGCACTTTGGACTTCGTGACTTCATAACCTTTAGCAGAAATAACAAGTGCTCAACTACAACACAGTCGTTGACTGACAGGACATCTAGCCTGTCCTCCAGCTCGCCATAGATTTCCCAGACTGCTTCCTCATCTTGTTCCTCTCCCTGCTTCACTCCCTTTCCCAGGGCTGTTAAGACTGGGGTTTGGTTGGAATGACCAGTTTGCCTTTGCTAAAGCCAGTGACCCCAGATGAAGAACTCATTTACCCAGGACTCTATTCCAGTGGGCTAATGCTTCACTCTCGTAGTGGAGCCGTTTGTTCATATGCAGTCTCTAATGAGGAACCTCTGTGTAAGGCACAAGCTACTTGTCGGGGTACAGGACCTGAGATAGCCTGTGGTCCCGCGTTGCCTTCCAGAGTCCAGAGCAGTACTGCCCGACTACTTCAGAAAGTTTCTGCAGGGGTGGGCATTTGGCTCTTTGGTTAAGATGTCACTTGAGAAACACAAATCTCAAATCAGGGTGCCTGGGTTTGGGTCCCAGGTCTGCTTCTGATTCCAGCTTCCTGCTAATGCACACCTAAGGAGACAGTAGGTGATGGCTCACGGACTTTGGTCCCTGCCACTCACGTGGGAGGCTCCAGTTGTGTTCTGGGCTCCTAGGTTCCCTGGCTGTTGTGGGTGTTTGTTGAGTGAACTAGCAGATGGAAGATTTCTGTCTTTGTCTTGCTGCATTTCAAATCAATGAAAACAAATTAAAAAAAAAAAACTTTTGTGAAGTTTGTGGAACAAGGGATTAAAAGATAAGTTTGTTTTGATGCAAGTTTTTTGAAATCACTGTGCACAAGATGTTCAAAAAAGTTTACTAAGAACGTGTGTTATGAAAAAATTATGCATGGGTTTCTAAACTGTGATGCACCAAAATATACTTCTCTGAGTTTTGTCTTTCCATGAACTTTTTAGAAGTCCTCTGGTATTCTCCAAGTGAGATTTCCTTCACTTTGGGACCTGCCCTGGAGGATATGGTGTGTGTCCCCACAGGCAGAGTCCCTTGTCTCACGGGCTGCAGACTGCTGACCACAGGCGTGGGTGTGTCCTCTCCCCAGCTCCCCACAGCCGTCAGTCACCGTCCTTCAGAATGGCCAACCGGGGCCCTCCTACGGCCTGAGCCGGGAGGTGCAGCAGAAGATGGAAAAACATTAGGACGCAGCCCGGGAGTTTATCAAAACCCCGCCAACCCCCCCCCAGTCCCCAAAGGACGGGGGCGGCCCTAACCCCCCCCGCAAAACCTCCAAAAACCCCCCAAGGGGGGGAAAGGGGAAACCCGCCCCCCCCCCCCCCCCCCCGCCGAGAAGGGAAGACGGGGGGAACCCAGTTCTGACTTCTTCCTCAGCCTTGGTGTCTTTATTGAGGATATGAGAGGCCCTGTACTTTCTTTCCTCCTCATCAAGTGAACACGTGCCCCAGGCAGGAAAGAACTGTGGGAGAGCCTGCCCTAGACAGTGAACTGGAATAGCAAGGAAAGACTAAAACCTGGCTTTTCTCTCTGGGCCCAGAGGCAGGGATGGGGCGAGAGGGGCTCTGGGGCTCAGACCCGGTGAAGGATTCTGGGCTGTCTCTGTCTGGCAGGAGAGGAACCTCTCAGGTTCACTGCCTCTGGCGTTGTGGGTGCATGCCGATCTGCAGTATACACATCCTCACCTCTGCACACCTGCTGTCCTTACCCAGGTGCTGTGTGAGCTCATTAATGGACTGTACCCCGAGGGGCAGGCCCCAGTAAAGAAGATCCAGGCTTCTGCCATGGCTTTCAAGCAGATGGAGCAAATCTCTCAGTTCCTGCAAGCAGCTGAACGCTATGGCATCAACACCACTGACATCTTCCAAACTGTGGACCTCTGGGAAGGTGGGCCAGGGCCAGGGGCTGTCCGGAAACCAGAGATTGAGCTGGGCCATCTTGAACAGGAAGGGACAGGTTTCTGGCTCCCTGAGGACTTAGAGTGTGTGTGTGTGTGTGTGTGTGTGTTGTTTCATGCAGAAGTTAGCCCTGGGGGGTTGGGATGGAGAAAGGACAGGGATTAAAAGGAAGCCAGGCCTGCTATCTAGGCCATAGTGGAACCCTGACATCTAGGATCCCAGCCCTGCTGAGGCCAACACCACCCCTCCTCTTCTGCTTCTCAGGAAAGAACATGGCCTGTGTGCAGCGGACGCTGATGAACCTGGGTGGGCTGGCAGTAGCCCGGAATGATGGGCTCTTCTCTGGGGACCCCAATTGGTTTCCTAAGTAAGTATTCCTGGAGCAGCCACTGGCCAGGCAGGTGCAACATTGCTGCACATTCCTGTCCCTGGGATATAGCAGCTGGTCCTTTGCAAAGTGCTTTCACACTCTGACTCAATCCTCACAGCTCTCCATGGGTGGCAAGTGACTGTCCCTTCGGAGAGATGAGGAGGAGCTCAAGGCTTTCAAGGGAAGAGCTGGCACCAACACCCTTGAACCCATGGCAAAGCCTGTGCTGTGCCAGGAGGGGAATGTTTTGTTTTGTTTTTTGTTTTTTACTGGAGCCACCTCTGACTCCTCCTAACCAGAGCTCCCTTCCCTCCCAGGAAATCCAAGGAGAACCCCCGGAACTTCTCGGACAACCAGCTGCAGGAGGGCAAGAACGTGATTGGGTTACAGATGGGCACCAACCGCGGGGCGTCCCAGGCGGGCATGACTGGCTACGGGATGCCACGCCAGATCCTCTGATGCTGCCCTGCCCTGCCCCGCCCTCCCACGGATGGTTAATATATATGTGTGTATATATTTCAGCAGTGACATTCCCTGAGAGCCCTCCAGCTCTCCTCTGCCAGGGTGGGGCTCCAGCTTGCCCTGTCCCCTCTAGGGGTGCCTGATGGTGGCCTCTCTCCCTGTGCTTACTAATACATTCCTTTCCCTACACCCACCAGAAACTGGACCAACTGGCCTCTTCTTTTCCCTTGGGACCAAAATTTGGGGGCACCAACTCCTCTCCCCTTTCCCTCTGGTCTCTCCTGCCCCTGGGCTGGTACTCTTCTTCCATTCCTTGGCTAGGAGTCAGCTGCCTTCCGATGCTGGACTGGCCTCCCTTCCACAAGAATGCCCCTCCTCCAGCCCTGGCTGCAGGGACTTAATTTATAGGGAGGGGCTTGTGGCAGCTGCCACCCTGGCCACAGCTGGACTGCGCTCACCGCACATCTGGGGCTGCCTTCCCTGGCAGAAGGCCTCCTGGCTTCTCATTTTCCATTCCCCTCACTGTGGCTAAGGGGTGGGGGTGAGACAGAGGAGGGAGGGCTGCCCACCCTGGGGCTTGAGGAGGAAGGGTTTGCTGATTTAAATAAAGAATCCCAGTCTTTTTTGGATGGACTGTGTTTGTGTGCCCGGAGGGGAGGAGAAGAATACGGGGAGGAGTGTGGCGAGTGGCACAGGGAAGAGGGCAGAGGTGAGAGGTTGCAGTGCTAAGCCCCTTCTTCAGTTCCTTCCGCAGCCTCTCTCTCGCTTGGTTTGGGAGAGAGTAGGCTGGGGTTGAGAAGGGACAGGGCCTCACTGTTGCCCTCAGATGAGGAACCACAATGAAGAATCTTTGGGAGTGCCCGCAGGGAGGTCCCTCTGTACCCAGTGAACTGGGCAGTGCTGCCTTGTGCTCCTGGCTGGACCTGCCCCTCCAGCCAAGACAGCTCCTCAGGCCCCTGCGGGAGGTGGTGCTTGCTGCCCACACAGGGCCAAGTTGGGCAGGCTTGGAGCCAGGTGGCCTGTGTTGGTGTTGGAGAGACCTGCTTGAGGGCTGTGGTGGAGATGGGCTGGAAAGCTGGGGGTACTGGGGGAAAGCCTGGCAGCAGCACTACCCTTTCATTTTATTATTATTTTTTTTAAGTTTATGTATTTTATTTGAAAAGCAGAATTAGGGACAGAAATCTTCCATCCACTGGTTCATTCCCCAGATGGCTACAATGGCCAAGGCTGGGCCAGAGCAGAGCCAGGAACCAGGAGCTTCTTACAGGTCTCCCGTGTGAGTGCAGGGGCCCAAGTGCTTGGGCCATCTCCCACGACTTTCCCAGGCATATCAGCAGGAAGCCGGATGGGAAGTGGAGCAGCCAGAACTCATATGGGATACCAGCATCACATGCAGTGGTTTCACGCACTTTGCCACAGCACCAGCCCCCACAACTTTTTTTTGGTGGGTGGACTTGGACCAAGATTGTGGGGTCAAGTTGTCTGCAACCCCTAGTGCTTAGCCCTGACCCAGGCGTGACTTAAATCCATAGTTTTTAACCCCTTGACACCATACGTACTCCAAGACTTTCAGACACCTCTGTCTTCCCAGGGAGAACTTGAGGGTGTCCAGTCTCACAAGTTAGGTCCTAGGTCCCATCAGCCAGCCCCCGAGTCCTGGCCTCCATTGCCTTTCTCCGTTGTTTTTATTTTTATTTTTTTAAAGATTTATTTATTTATTTGAAAGTCAGAGTTACAGAGAGAGGTAGAGGCAGAGAGAGAGAGGTCTTCCATCCACTGGTTCACTCCCCAGTTGGCCACCACAGCCAGAGCTGCATTGATATGAGCCAGGAGCTTCTTTCAGGTCTCCCAAGTGGGTGCAGGGGCCCAAGTCCTTGGGCCATCTTCTACTGCTTTCCCAGCCCAAAGCAGAGAGCTGGATCAGAAGTGGATCAGCCGGGACTTGAACTGGCACCCAAATGGGATGCCAGCACTGGAGGTGGCGGCTTTACCTGCTATGCCACAGCGCTGGCCATTGTTTTTCTACTCGAGGAATTTGTTTCCTGAGAAGGAGGAAACCCCAACGTTGTGCTTGGGGTGAGAGATCCTGCAGCAGTTCATAAGCAGAGAGCTTGCCCTGCCCTCCCGCCCCCCCCGCCCCCCCCGCCTCAATATGGCTCCCTCCTCCTGGAAGCACCTACTGTGTGCCAGGTGCCAGTCTCCATGCAGTGATAGCGCTCAGCTTATCCCAACAGCTAACCGTGGGAGACATGGGATTTGCTTGCCCGCTGCACTCCCCCGGGCTGTGGCACAGATAAGATAGGCTGTAGCCTATGTGCAAATTCCCAAGGCATTAGCTGTCACTCCACCCCTTTGTCTCCCATTCAGGAAGGCTTTGTGGAATGCCAGTGAGGGAGAGTGATGTCATTGCAGAGAAAACATTGAATGCACTGATACTGATACTAAAAAAACAAGCCTTTGCAACCTTCCCCGATTTAACCATTTATAGCCACAGAT